TCTCCAGAGCTAGCTATCCTTTCCTGAACTGAGCAGCTTCCATGTTCAAGATGTGGTGTGATTGGAAAGGAGACATTCTATGCGAGCCCCAACATGCAAAAATAAAAAGCTGCTGAATGAAAATCAGCAATAAATGAAAATCACCCTACACACACATATTATAACGCATAGCAACAGAGAAACAAGAAAGAAACTTTATTTTGCATTGTCCTTATTTCGTTCTTTTGCCTAGATTAGCAGGCTTAGAGCATGAAAGCAGAAGATGTATGCAGGAAATAGCCAGTCCCTGCACATGTTTTGCTCCATCCTGAATGCGCACTTTAAATGTGAATGGGTTGCAGTATGTCAGTGAAGCTGAGAGCTTTGTCATCAGGAGGCCAGACTCTGTTACAAGCCTGTACTCCTAGTAAGGTCACCCAAGGCAGAAAGGTCACAGCCGAGACACCAGACTAAGATGCATCCACCCTCTTTGAGGCAGCTACTGGGCAGCAGTGGTAGCTGAAAATAACATTTATGGAGGTAATGGCAGTGACACTCAAACTAACTTTCAGTATTGTGATTTCTAATTTCCCTCAATGGAGCAGCCAGTAATGGTCATTATAATTCTGGAGGCACATAGACTAGTATGGTTTTAGAATTACATCTCTTTGACCCCTTCTAGTTCTTATGCAGAATATATGTTATGTGCTGTGAAGTGAGAACTGAGATAATGACCTTAAATGACTTTCAAGGCAATTAAGATATTTAAGGAATGGTTTGAGGAGCAACACCCTTTCCTAGTGAGTTTCCAGGACTGACCAGAGATTCAGACCCAGGTCCCCTGAGTTGTAGTCTGTTATGCTACCCATTAAACCGCATTGTCTGTGGAGAACATGTACACATAAAATTCCCTTTTAAAGTATAAAAAGAGACATTTACTTATAAACACACAAGGAGACATTCACTTATAAACACACTAGAAATATGCCACTGGTTGTAAAAATATTTCAGTTTGATTGCTGCAAACGTAAGATAACAATCAGAACAGCGGTGAAAACACATCTCAAATGTTATTTTAATTTCAATAACAAATCACAGGTAGAAATATATATTCCAGAATAAAATGGCTCATAGAAATAAAATACATCATAGAAAGCCTGCTAAGAGCAGATAGCCATAAGAAATTCATTACAGCTTGTTTAGAAGAACAAAACTCAAATATTACAGCAAAATTTTATTTGCAATGAGACATGGAGAAAAAGAGATTCCAATGTTAATTTTCACCCCCCCAGTGCCAAACCTTTGTAGAAATTGGATCTAATATTCACAACAGCTTATTCAGTAACATAAATCTGAATTCCAAGGTCCACCATATCCATTAACTAATGAATTTGTCAGATCTCATACGACTACAGATCCACTCCTATGGCTTTCTCCACCAGAAAAAAGAGGTTAATTTGTTGAATCTGGAATCCATCCTATCCTAGAGGTTAGGGGTGGTAAAAACTGTGGCCAGGTCCAACCTCCATAGCTAGTTTAGACTTTCAAGATCATTTCCATACGATATATCCCAATTTTCCTAAGCTAGCTTCTGCACAAAAATTGTACTGTACGATGCCTATTATAGACACTCTCTCTCCTGGAGTTCTTCAGCTGCTTGTGTCAGAGAAATCAATGTTGGCCAATGTGTCTGTGTATTCCCTGAGTCCAATTAGATCTTTCATGAAAATTCATCCCCAAGTCAAGTCATGGCATAATGAGTGGAGAAGATTTTAAAAGTCTGAACCAGCAGAGATAGCTGTAGCCTTCTCACTTGAAGGATCTGATGAGCCAAGGCTGTATATTTTAAGGCCAAACTAGTTCTATAGGACACCTATGTAGATGTTAAAGACGTCTACTCCATTCACATATCAAAGTGGAGGATAAAGGATGAAATCTAAACAAAAAGGAGTGTGCAAGCGAGAAGAATAGAACCCATCCTTTCTCTTGTTTTTTCCCCTATGTTGCTATTAAGGAACATTTCTCCTGCCTAAGTCTGCTACTGGAAACAAACAGAGCAGGTACAATAATGATTGAGCTGCAGAGTGGGTAAGATAGCAGCTTGTACAGGGACAAGGGAGGGTTTTCATTTCTCTTCCCCACATACTTTTTCCTGTATAAAGAATAAATCCCCAGCGCCAGTTTTATATGTGAGTGGGGCACCTATGTGTTTTACATATTATAAGGAACAGATCTGGACAAACTTTGATGTTTTAATATTTTAAAAAGCGTCAGTTACACTAGTGGCTAATACTTTAAAATATGTTTTTTTTTATAGAACAATGTTTAAAATATAAATCAGGTCAAGTAAATGATTACTTAATATTCTTGTTTCATAAATCCCCTGCTTTTGTTTTTTTTTAAACTCTTGAGTGCAAATATATTTCTCTTCTATGCTGAGCAAGGAACAACCAAATCATAAATTCAAAACCAAGAGAAATAAATTAAATCTATAGGCAATAAAAAAATTATGATTTTTTTAAACGTTCACATCTGTCTGTCTGTCTGTCTATTTATCTATCTCTTCTTGAGTAGTTCCAGGTAGCACTATATTTAATATATGACAATAAAACATCTACATTTTCAGAATGGAATGTATGGAAGAAATGTGCCATATGCTTGTAGTGGCCAAGTGGTTTATATAATGTATACCTATGGGAGAAGCTGGTGTAGCTCAGTGGGTTGGAGAGCCAGGGCCAAGAATTTGAATTGGCACTGCATCTCCTGTGGGAAAAGTTGGACAACATTACCTGGAGCATATGTAGTTGATGGGGTTATGTGTCCTGCCACCTGTTAGGCAAACTGCCAAGGTCCTAGAAGGAGAGACCAGTAAGCCACAGGAGTACTTTGTACTTAGAAAAGCCTGGGACGATCCCTATAAGTTGGAATTAACTTGACACATTAATAATGACAACAATAACAACAATAAGTGGTGTCCCATCCAAGCAACCGATCACAGCTTCAACTACTCAGCTGCAGCATTGCTCCCAGGGCGTTCAGCTAAAGCCAAACAAACTTAACTTAGGCCATGGTCACACAACAGAAATGCCCTCCCTCTTTCTCATGTCTTTTGCTTCCTGTATAGTCTCGTGTTGTGGTTGCATGACACACATTTTCTAACATCTCCACTTTATTTGGGTGAATTAGATGTGGTATCTTCGTCTACACCTCTGGAGTGGAACATATCTCTTTCCTTTTCTTGTGTTGGCAAAACACTATTGCTAGCCACATACTGATCTGGGTCATTTCTTCCTATTTCCATGCTTCATTACCCTCTGTGGAGGAGAACCCACAGTGCCCTGCAGTGGTGGTTAAAAGACAGTAGGGGGACTAATGCTCTGTATTTGACAGAAGTATACCAAAGTGCTGACATTCCTGTTTGAAAATTATTTTTTTAAAAAAATTAATGGAGTCAAATGACAGTGGGTGAGAGAGGTGAGACCGCGTGCCAGATGTATAGGAAATGCATTGGTTTTGGAGTACACACTCAATGGGTGTCAGTTGTACTGTGCGATGAAATGCGGAACAAATATAGTAGTAGCCTCCCAACTGGCTGGATTTGATGTGGAGATAGCACAAAAGAGGAATAAAAGAATCAATAATGGCCTTGTGTTGTCTAAACCCTCCCCCAAAAAGTGTCAAAATTCACAAGGAGTAACTTGGAAACATTTTGCTGTTGTGACCGCAGCCTTATTTTATCTCAGAAGCAAAGAATATAGGCAAAAAACATAAATATAAAAAAGACAAGTAGTAGAAGAAAAAAAAACGTAATGCTAATAGCTGAATTTTTTTTAAAAAAATCTGTATACTGGACCATACACAGTGAATGGTAATTCTGTATGAATTATATGAGAAATAGCACACATTGAGAAAAATGTGTCATTGGAAGGAAAGTTCTGGAATTTAGAAAAAAGGACAAACTGCTGTAAAGCTGAGAATTGTTTTACCAGGTGAATTCTTGCTGATAAAAAGTTCTGACAGAAGTGGGTGTGTCATGTTCGCAGGGGGGCATATTGCGTCCACGGTGGGCATGTCAAGCAATCAGTCAATCCATCTGCCAGCTAATTTATCCTCCCACCTTTTGCAGGGGTGATGCTGACAGGTGGCCCACCAAGGTATGTGCAAATCACGTGGGCCTTCTCAGTCCCCTGGATGTGAGGCAGAAAAACAGCCCCCAAACCAGGCCATAGTCTACTGTCCCAACTTTTCCAAATTCCTTTATGGGACCTCCAATCTGGGGAGTGAGATGTCACACACCTTTTCCGACTTTTAAGGGAATATTTTCCAGTGTCTATGATGCCAGCCAAGGCTGTGTTACAAGATGTACATAGGGATATTGACACACTCAACTCACTAGAGAACAACTAGGGGAAAGGCCAGTTGCTATGATGATGAAAACTGCACCATACCAGGCCAATACGTAGGTGCCTGGGTAAACTTCTTTCCCTGCTGTATCAAACTATTTGTCCAATCAAACATAGTTGATTAGGAAGGGTCAGTACACTGGCAATGAACAGAATGCCTGGGTCACACAGCGGTGCTGTTTTAATATCCAATAAGTATGCCAAAGGCATAAAGTATCTGCCCTGAAATGACTTTTGTGTGAAATGGAACATCCTCCTGTCCCCATAAGTAACTGAGCTTCATTTTTGGATATCTTTTTTTAAAAAAATGTTTTGTGAGAACATAACCCAGAAGGCATAAATTGTGATTAACTTGTCTTCTGCTTCTACAGTATCTTCTCTTAATTAACATAGTTGCTCTGCTTAGGTAACCTTCTTTCAGTATTCTGATGAACAAGCACAGAGAAAAGAAGGCCTAAATTGTCTCTCTAAGACTGGCCAATACAAACACACCATACAAACTGCACATACACATAGTCATAATATGATGTTGCAGCCACTGCCAAATATGCATATGCGAATCTGTCCTATATTCCTTTACTGGCTGCCAATACCACACCAAAAAAAAGTATAACCTGAGGAAGTCAAGTGCCATTTTAATATGTATTATGTTAGGTGATTTGACATATTTTTTGCTATATACAAATATTCTTCCACTTCAAAACACAACAGAAAAAATGAAACAATTAGAAAAACTGACACTGAATTAACCCTTCTATGCCATGTCAATTTTTTTCACAAACTTCACATATAATCTGCATTATACATCAGGATATGTCTGTTCTGTTGCCTGTTGGCTGAACAGTTTGTTCCATTGCCTGATGATTGAATTAAACTGTAGGGATTACAAGTTCTTAAAAAGGAAAGAAAAAATAGCACAGAAAACAAAACATAATGAAACCTATGACCCAATTGATGGAATAAATATAGATTATCACCATGTCCATGTCAAATCGCCAGCCCCGGCTATCATCCTCAAAGTCCATATAATCCATTCTGTAAGCAGCATGTGGGAAATGCCTTCGTGGTAAGGAATCTGTGCTCTGAAAACCTGCTGAACAAGGAGAAATGACATCATAACCATCAAACAAGTAACTAGCACAAACCAATTTTTCCTATTAACTTTTATAACTTCATTTCTAGGAGGACAGAAAAAGGAATGAGGGGAGAATGTATAGCAATGTATGTCTGCCTGGCTCTGTCTGGTTTTCCTCTTCATCTATTTTTTGAAGCAGCAGTTGGAGATAGCAGAGAGGAAGAAATGCGGAACAGAGAGATCACCTCTATGTGCATCTTTTTCCTCAAACATTTTTATTCAGTCTGGTCACTATATAAAAACACTTTATAACTTTAAAAAATAGTTTGCTTATTTTCTTCCTACTCATCAGTTTTTTCCAATTTTCTTCCAATTATAAGCCTGAAGTCAGGGTCTTTCTCATTTATTACTGACCTACGTATGTAGCTGCTCTGGGACCCTTTTAATGAAACACAAGAAGTGTGCATTAAATAAATGCTAAACTTACTAAACATATGCCAGCAAGTTTGGAAAATTCAGCAGTGGCCAGAGGATTGGAAAAGATCAGTCTACATCCCAATCCCAAAGAAGGGGAGTGCCAAAGAATGCTCCAACTATCGTACAATTGCACTTATTTCAAACGCTAGCAAGATTATGCTCGAAATCCTACAAGGTAGGCTTCTGCAGTATGTGGATTGAGAAATCCCTGAAGTACAAGCTGGATTTCGAAGGGGCAGAGGACCACGAGAACAAATTGCTAACATGTGCTGGATTATGGAGAAAGCCAGAGAGTTCCAGAAAAACATCTACTTCTGCTTCACTGACTACGCAAATGCCTTTGACTGTGTGGACCACAACAAACTATGGCAAATTCTTAAAGAAATCGGAGTGCCTGACCCATCTTATCTATCTCCTGAGAAATCTATAAGTGGGACAGGAAGCAACAGTCATAACTGGATATAGAACAACTGATTGGTTTAAAATTATGAAAGGAGTACGACAAGGCTGCATATTGTTTCCCTGCTTATTTAACTTATATGCACAATACATAATGTAAAAGGCTGGACTGGACAAATCCAAAACTGGAATTAAGATTGCTGTAAGAAATATCAACAACCTCTGATATGCAGATGATACCACTCTGATGGCAGAAAGTGAAGAGGAATTAAAGAACGTTTTAATGAGGGTGAAAGAGGAGAGCGCAAAAAATGGTCTGAAACTGAACATAAAAAAAACTAAGGTCATGGCTAGTGGTCATAGAAGGGGAATAGAAGGGGAAGATATGGAGGCAAATAGAAGGGGAAGATATGGACGCAGTGACAGATTTTACTTTCTTGGGCTCCGTGATCGCTGCAGATGGTGACAGCAGCCACAAAATTAAAAGATGCCTGCTTCTTGGGAGGAAAGCAATGACAAACCTAGACAGCATCTTAAAAAGCAGAGACTTCACCTTGCCAACAAAGGTCCACATAGTCAAAGCTATGGTTTTTCCAGTAGTGATGTATGGAAGTGAGAGCTGGAGCATAAAGAAGGCTGATTGCTGAACAATTGATACTTTTGAACTGTGGTGCTGGAGGAGACACTTGAGAGTCCCCTGGATTACAAAGAGAACAAACATATCCATTTTGAAGGAAATCAATCCTGAGTGCTCACTGGAAGGACAGATCCTGAAGCTGAGGCTCCAGTACTTTGGCCATCTCGTGAGAAGAGAAGACTCCCTGGAAAAGACCATGACGTTGGGCAAGTGTGAGGGCAAGAGGAGAAGGGGACAACAGAGGACGATATGGTTGGACAGTGTCACCGAAGTTAGCAACATGAATTTGACCCAACTCCGGGAGACAGTGGAAGACAGGAGGGCCAGGCATGCTTTGGTCCATGGGGTCACAAAGAGTCGGACACGACTTAATGACTAAACAACAACAAAAACATACTAAATAAATAAATATTGCAGCTGATAAGAATACAGTATGTACAAAGAGAACCATTGGGCAGTGGTTGGGCATGCACATAGTGATGGGGGAGGAAGAAAAGGGCCTTTCTGAACATTTCTATCTCTGACTGAAAACAATTGGGAGCAACTAGTATCCTCCCCCAACAGAGGAAGATGAGGGGTGAAGTTATTATAACCCAGAGACTGGCTACAGGAGCACTCTTGCATCTGGAATTTTCCAATGGTGGATTTCACTGCAGGTGCCAAAACCCATATACAGTGGTGCCCCACTTGATGTCGATAATGTGTTCCATTAAAATCACTGTTAAGCGAAACTGTTGTCAAGCGAAAGTAAAAACCCCATTGAAATGCACTGAAAACCAGTCAATGTGTTCCAATGGGGGAAATACCTTCTCATCCAGCGAAGAACCTCCATAGGGGAAAGCATTTTGCATTACTGTCTTCCGGAAATAGGTCCGGAAAACAGCGGGGAGCCATTCTGAAAACCCAACAATCAGCTGTTTTTAATTGTCGTAATGAGAACAAATGGTTTGCGAAGCAGGGAACTGATAATTGTAAAATGGAAAAAGCCCATTGGAATCATCGTTTTGCGATCCCTATAGCAATCTAACGGGGTAATCGTCAAGCGGCGCACCACTGTACGTGATTCACTGAGACCACAAAGATGAACGGCATCATTAGCTTGTAGTATACTGTTGGCAGAGACTTTATAGGGTTTATGTAATAACATTAAAAAGGCTGTAATGTATGACAAACTGTCATGGACTTTGTAAAGAGAAAAATTCTATGCTTTTGGTGGCAATTGTCTATTATTCGATAAAACCATAAATGCAATAGGGAGAGAATATAACCTGTTTCCAAACACCAGTCTCTCCAGAAACCTATAATCTTCTGCTCTGCATTCTACCACTGAGGAGATAATTTAGTTACTCTTTATATCATTCAGACAAGCCTGGTTCAAACCACAACTTCCACCATGTGCTTTAGGAAAGATAAAACTTTAACCCATCAGTCTTAGTCTGGTCTGTGGAGAGGCTGGGGGATGCCCTTCTTCAAAATCCTGTTCCTGGAGAGTGGAACATTCTCCTACTCACCACAAACTTCTGGAAGTGGTAGCAAGGAATCTCTGGTCTCCAATTAAAGACTAGAAATAACAGTGAAGATTGCCCCCCAACCCAAATGGGAAGGTGAATGACCATGAGGGGAATCCTCTCTGTACTTTCTTATATGACTGCTTAGGTCACCCACTATCTTCTCCCAATAGAGGAAGATGAGGGGTGGATAAAATCACTACAATCCAGGTACCAGCTGCAGGAAGACTCTTACATCTGGTACCTGAGTTAGGGTGTGTGACTTAATTGTGCATGGACTTCTGTAAAATTATAAAACTACAACACCAATAATAGGGATAGTGCTTTTTAGTTATGACAAATGTAATACAACATAAAAGAAGCTCCTATATTTATTTTGCAGAGTCTTTTGCTGAGTTCATAAAGAGAGATTCTGAAATACAAATCATCCATTTCAATGAATGAAATGAACGTGGATCATTTGTCTCCACCTGTGTTTAACTGAAATGTCACCCTCATTTCACCCCATGCATGTAAAATTACCTTCTTTTCTATTCTGACAAATAGCCTTGCAAATCTCATGACAAGGGCTGTCAGTTACTAATTAGAGCATTCTGAAAGAGCTCTAATTTGAATCTTTAAAAGAGCCAGGAAGTTTGAATCTTTAAAAGCACCAGGAAAAGACTAATACAGTAATTGCTGCTGATTCCTTGTGGGATGTTCCTGTATGTAGCTCCTTGGCTTGCCCCCCCCTTTTAAAAAAACTGGATTGGATCATTGTTGTGTTGCTCTCTCTGACACTTCATTTTCCATTACTTGTGGATCAGAACAGGTTGCTTACCAGTAACTGTGATTGTTTGTGTGGTCATCCATGAATTCATACAATTGGGTTTCTGCACCTACACCAAAGCCAGGTCAGTGCACACAACTGAAATATAAACACTTGCCCTTTCCCCCCATCAGCTGGTGAGAATGCTCCAAGCTGCTAACAGCTTCCACTCAGTCTCTCTCTCTCTGTCTGTTGCCCAAAAATCTGGAAAAAGATGTGGCACACAGAGGGGAGGATGGTTGGGTTGTGTGAATTCATGGCTGACCACTTGAAGAACCACAGTTACAGGTAAGCAACCTATTTTTCTTTGTGGCCCCTGTGAATCACACAGGTAGGTGACTTGCCAGCTCAACTGCTGGAGGAGGGATGACAGACAGAAAAATTTCTGCAAAATGGAAGATAATATTGCTTAGTTGAAGGAAGCATCATTCTTTGATTGATTATTCACCCAGTAGTGTTTCATGAAAGTTGACATATGGGACCACGTAGCTGCTTTATAAATGTCCTGTATCTGGACACTTTTAAAAATGCTGTTGAAGTACTTATTGCTCTAGTACACTGACCCTTAACTGTTGATGGTAAAAGGACTTTAGCTAAATCAGATGTCAATTTAATAGCAGAAACCATCCAGTTTGATAAACATTGTGAAGACACAGCCTGACCTTTCCTAGAACTGTGGTAGCAACCAAACTCCTTTGTTTTAGGAAAGTAAAAGGCAAGCGACCTTTGAACATCAAGGAAAATGCATTGTTCTTTCCAAAGATGATTGGGACAAAAGAAGAAAAGTTGGAAAAACCACAGGCTGTGAAGCATGGAAGACAGAGTCAGCCTTAGGCAAGAAGTCTATATCAAGGTACAGAGTTTTCTATGGACAGAACTGCAAACATGGGAAATCTGTTCTAAAATTGCAAATTTCACCTGCTCTTTTGGTGGATGTAATAGCATCAAAAAACTGTGTCTTAAATGTCAAAAGAAGATTTGTCCTTGCCAAGGGTTCAATGGTTTCATCAACTGGTTCTGTATTAGAGATAAAGACCAGCCTGGTCTTTACAACTGTATGGTGGATGAAAGGGAGGGAGTGAATACAGAAAGTTCCCCTTCTACATCATGGAATCTATTTCCTTTCCATCCCTGAAAACTTCCGATTAATCCTTGAAGTGAACATGTCTATGTGAGTCATTCCCCACTT